ACAAGGCTTCCACCCCCGTTCCAATCTGAAACTCGAAGCGGCACTTCGAACGCTCACCGCAGATATACATCAAATTTTAATGATCATAAAATTTGCCTTTTCTGATGTGGTTCAATTTTTGAAAGTGGCCAACACTGTGAAAGTGATTGGCATTGGCAGCTCGGTCAGGATTCCTGCAGTGATCGGTTCCCTGACCTCACTCAGGGGCCGTAAGGTATCCTCTCCTGTTCGGGGCTTTGACGCCCCGATTCGGCTCTCTCTGTGCTCTCCCCGAGAGCATCTATCTCTCTGCTCTCCCCGAGAGCATACCTTACCGGGTAGGGGACCCTCCCCTGTTCGGGGAGCATACCCCCAGGGACGTTGNNNNATTCTCAGATAACCTGGCCCTGGCAACGGTGTTACTTGGACCTAACCCAACTACACTCCCAGGATTCGCAATACAACACTGAAAAATTGGTGAATTAAAATAAAAACTCTGCAAATGCAGTAATTAAAACCAAAAATGCAATTAAAATTTTAGAAACTAAGAGGTTGGCCAATAATTGCATTGGAAGTGTTTCTGTGGGAGGTCTTGCAGAGCGTTGAAATGTCTTTTCACCGTGAATTTAACAATGGGGCACATTAGAAACGAAATTCCTTTCACGTGTCACTTCTGCTTATTCTCTATTGGGATAAGCGGGATGATAGAACGGGTACACCTTGTAGTCTCGAAGGGCCTGTTCTAGACGCCTCGGCTAAGCCAACAATGATGAATGGACGTTGCTTAACTGTCACGTTCCCATTCGAACAGCTCGATTTCCGCTCTTATCATTGATGATTCCATGGGGGATCCATTGCAGGGAGTGTACTTCAGCACTTGCCTTCAAATTGACCATGTACTCGTGAAAGGGCTCGAAATGAAACACTTGGAGTCCATTCAGGTCATGCCATGCGACGTATATAGGCTAATCGTCCGTAAAACCGGGAGGAAACGTTACCGTGATTTCAACAGAGGGTTCACGGACGAATTCTTTCATTGGATCGCCAGGTGGATTAGCATAGATTTCACTTTCAGGAGAAGGTCGCAGCGGAAATACGTGAACTTCGCACTTGTATCTCTTGAAATTACCGTTTAAGCAGATCTACGAGACGGTGAACTAGCAAACTAGCAACACATGGATAGTTGATCGGGGGACCGGGGAAGCAGCGCCTTTCTGAATCGTTGAAGGCGAGGACGCAGGGAAGGAGGGGTAGCCAACCTGCTTGTGCCTAAATTGGCTTTCAGCCGAAAAGAATATTGTTTTTACCTAACTTCCAGAAGAAGAGGAGCTTCGGGGTGGGTGAGAAGGTTAGTCCGAACAAAAAGCTGAGATGAGATAAAAATTGAACGTTCAATTGGCTCACCCACCTCGGAGCTCCTTCCGTTCTCAGGCTAAAAATATATATTTATAACATAAAAAAAGCTATGAAACGTTTCTAAGCACCTTAACGGGC